CCCTGTCAGACGGCCTCACTCCCCAGCTGTGACGCTTGCCCTCTGCCTCTTCGGCTCTGTTATTAGCCAGCTGTGAGTCACATTCGGGCATCTGCTGGCTACACAATGGCAAAGCCCACTCTGTCTTAGCCCCTCTCCCCCGTGTCCCAGCCCCCTATCCTTCCCCCTGCTGCCCTCCAATCCTGGGTCACTGCCCCACTTCCACACCGCTCTCTCCAGCTTTTTCTCCATCCATAACCCCGTGATCACCTATTTTCTTCTCCACCAAACACTAACCAAAACCTTCTGGTCCCTGAAGCTCTTTAAAGGGCTGGGACTCTTTAAACTCACGTTATAACGACTCTGCATAACACTGGCTGTGACACTGGAACTATAGCACTGCACTTGGTATCACATGTTGACAAAGTTCAGACATGGTGTATAGGCTGAACAGCAGTGTTAAGGTTACATTTCGATGAGGGAAAGGCAGAATATTTCCCAAAAGAGTGTGTGCTGCTGTCCGCTGTGGGGTGTCCGCAACACTCGAGGCTACAGAGTGAGAAGATCCAGGAGCTGGCCGGGGACATGCTGTGTTACAGCAGAAATCTGTAGGGGGTTACCACTGTAACAAGGATGATGACAGACAGGCTAGACTTATAGTTCAACCACATTCTAGTTTTCAAAAAATGTAGAGCCCCAAGCGTCGTTCCAAAACTACATTTCAAGCTGGCTGAAACAAAATAGAGTGAAGGAGAGGAATGGATATTTGGATTTCGTCCCTGTGGATGAAGGTTAAAAAGGTGTGTGTGTGTGTGTGTGTGTGTGTGTGTGTGTGTGTGTGTGTGTGTGTGTGTGTGTGTGTGTGTGTGTGTGTGTGTCTAAGACTCACCTGCACATAACCTCATGTGTGAGCAGAACTCTGCACATTTCTGGATTCTTGTTTTGTCCCTCATACGCTATTGGCTGAGAGAAGGAAAGAGGTAATAGGACACATTAAGTTTCAAGTAGGCCAAGTTAGACTCTTATTGAAATAGATGGATTAAAATAAAGTTTACAAACCTGTTTAGTGACAGAGTCAATAAGTCGTGCATACAGATCCTGCTCTGTGCGGACCCCTGCAAAAAGAAAATGGCTTTCACAAGTCATTTTAGATATGGCAGAGATTTTACTGGTATTATAATCTCTTGTCCTAAATGCTTTAGTAAAAATGGAAACTGGGAGTCAACGAAAGATGGAGAAGCTCGCCTCTAATTGCAAAATACTACATTACAATTCACGAAGCAACCAAAACTGCTCTCACAATCTTAAACCTGCTCTGACCTTTGAATAAAAAAGTACATAATAATGAAGCTTCTCAAAATAAAATGGAAAGATTTACGGCATCAATCTTTTTTTATCTCAAACTCTGGACCAGCGCTCAGAAAAAGCATTGAACTCGGTCCAGCTAAACATGGAGGAATAAGATTGGCTTGCTGTTCATATTTTCTCTGATGGTTTCTGAGGGGGTTAGAGTTATTTGATGTATGATGATTATCAGTCATGTTCGGCTTTGAGGCCAGAATTTACGAGCGCATTCTCACGGTTTGTCAAACGGTTTGTTTTTTGTTATTTCTCAGTTAACTTCTGACTTATTCCCAAGTTAACACGACCGGATACTAGCTGGTATGTTACCTATCACACACCAACAAGTAAAAAAGCACCTGATCAGTCAGTGAAGGGATTTTATAGTTGACTGTGTCTCTGAGTGAGATACACCTGAACCCTCCGGATGATTCCAAACCTCTGCTGTAAGTCTCAGAAGATACAGAAACAAGATGTAATGAATTGCTTCTTAAGATATGAACGCATTACCCACGTTATTTTTTGTGACTTTGGAGAGTATTGCTTTCAAAATGTGTTCCTCTCATCAAAGTCTCGATTGAGATGCCTTTGATATCGCTTGGGGGAAGGGGATGAGAGGAGGGGATGCAGAGGAAGTGCTTTTGGTGTGTGTGTGTGTGTGTGTGTGTGTGTGTGTGTGTGTGTGTGTGTGTGTATATGGTGGGTGTATGGTGGGTGTTTAAGGGGGTTGCTCTGGAACATGTCTTTTATCTTCTCTCCCACGGGTGCTCCTGCGATGGCAGAGTAGGGCCAGCAGTGGCTCATGGGAACCGAGTTTCTCTGCGTATCCCCCGATCTGATGTGAAAGCACCACGGGGGGTTGGAGTAGTTGGAGGGAATATGGGGGGTGTTGAAGTGGGGGGGGGGAAACATGTACCTCATCTCCCCATACATGCACCCAGAAGTGACTCCTCGCAGAGCTGAACGATGAATTGAACAAACCCAGTGATTAGAGGATGAGGGGAAGGTAATTGATGAGCTCAGAGAGGAGAGGATGTGGAGGAAGATTACTTAAGTGGAGAGGTGTGTGTCAGGTTAGCCCTGATGGTGTCAACTCCTGTAGAGATAAATGAGACAGTGCAAAAGCTCCTACATATACTCTGAGATCTCTGCTTTGACTCACCGTTGCTGTAGAGGAGCTGCAGCTTGTAGTGCGTGCCGTTGTTGGTTTTCTCCCCTGTCTGCTCCTTAGAAAGGGACAGACACACAGACATGCCGTTAAGCACATGTGAAGCACAGATAAGTACAGCTGAGCATCCCCACACAGTGTTAAGCACAGCGAGTCTCTCCTAATCCTGTAGCTCGCCCTTCCCTGACAGCAGCACTGAGATCAGAGGGTTGTAGGCTCAGAGCCCATGTGGGACCTTTCGTTGTGTTCGAGAGCTGAGCGCTTAACCTTGAGCCGGATGTTCTTTGTAGAGGTTGAACTATCATGTCTGATGCAAACTCCTAAAACCCTAAGATCAAATGTAGAGGTCCTCATCGCAACGAGGTAGCCCCGCCATGGTTATATGTGTGCGTGTGTGTGCAAAGTGTGGAAAGTACTGTATGTGAGACTGAGCAGCAGTCGACCTTGACAGAAAAACTTCCTTTCCGCTATCCCTCCCTCCCCCAGGCTCTCCACTAGCCTCTCGCTTCTTCCTTCTCTCCCCCTCTCTGTCTCTTGTTCCCCCTCTTTCTTTCTCTTCTTCTACCTCTACTGGTCTTTCTAAGTGGTCTCAAAGGAATGCTCTCTGGTCCAATAACCCAGGAGGCTGGCATCACGAAGACGAGTGCGAGGGTGGAGGAGAGAGACCGAGAAGGTTGGGGAAGTGGAGAAACTGGGAGACAGTTGCAAGGTGGAAGAAGAAGTAGGGGAAATTAAGATGCATGAAGATAAGTTGGGAAGTAACAGAGCTCCAAACTTAATATCAAACTTAATAAAGTGAGATTGAGGCTGGGAGATAGATGGATGCCTAGCTTCATAAGTTTTGTGAATATACACAGAGGAACATTTATTTCGCCCTGCCATCATTCTACCTTTGCATAATTACAAAGCAAAAACAGATGCCAGGGTAACCATGCAGAAAATGAACTCCTCCACTGCCGTCATATTACTATACGCTGGCCTGGGTGGCACAAAGGGAGCACGCTGACAGCTTTAAGCCCTGGTGTTAGCACTGCCGCCCTCTCCCTCCCTCCCTGCCCATGAAATTCATAGTAAAACTATGTTTGAACTTCAGCTGACAGGACGGTGTCCTCTTGTCTTTCTCACGGGGGAGATGTGTTGCCAGTTTAGCAGGCTCTGGCACCACAAGGCAGAAACATCCATCAACACCAGGCATAAGGCTCTCACTACACTCTTCCTTATTTTGGTCCTGTCCAACCTGAGGAATCCAGCTCACCCCCACAGCAGTATTTAGAGTATGGCAGGGGGGNGGGGGGGGGGGGGAAAGAGACTTTGATGATTAGTTCACTGTATAACTTAACAGGAGCAAGCATAATTTGCATTTTAAAAAGTAGTGATGTCCTCCTAATGAGGCAAGCTGCTAATTAGTCATTAGATATTCTTTTTCAATCCCACATCATCAGCTCATTGAGGGAAGAGCTTGTGTAAACACGTAGCCGTCAGCTGTTCGATATGCTTGGCTATACTGGGGATGGGGAAGATCAAGTTGAGCACCTGGTTACAGCTGAAATACGCTTTAACTAATACAATCTGTGGCTGTTTTTTTAGACGATGCTGCTTCAGATTTATGGTTTGGGGTTTAAAATAACTGTGTAGATGATGAAATGAATTGATTACATCCCAAAATAATAGTCATTAAGACAGACAGGAATCCAGAAACATTAACACACCTTGTCATGCTCAACAAAGTCCACAAACGAAGTCCTCTCCACCTCCACAGGTTGGCCGTGTCTGTCATAGAGAGCCAGGACAAAGTGGAAGAAGTTGGACTTGCGGAGATTTGAGGGCGGCTGCTTCTCAAAGTGAGCTCTTGACAAAGCTACTCCACTGAGGACAAAACAGGGAGACAGTCAGTTACAAAGACATCCACATTGTGTTCAAATGTATTGTAATACACTGATTTGTACTGATAAATACAAGGGTTTTTATATATATATATTAAAAGGACCATTTAACAAAGTAAATCAAAATAATTGAAAACTGGCTTTTTAATAATTAAAAATGAAACAACACAGTTGAGACTTTTCTCTGCTTGCAGTAAATCATGATAACTCAGTTAATATGCACAACAAAACATTTAGATTAATTTGCACTTTCAAGGCAGTTATTAATAATGATTATAATTAACATGAATAAGTCATTTTTTAATAATTAAATTTTCCATTGATTATAACATTTTTAATTTTCCAATGCATAAGGCCTTGATTTTATCATACAATAATCAGGCATATCAATAATTTGCAAAAGAAAAATAATCCAACTAACAATAACCTAAAATGTGGTTACATTTTCCCCATAACTTAAAGTCTACTTTACTTGTTTAGAAGAAACTGGTGGGGCACGGAAATACAAGGCAAGAGGAAAAACAATAAAATCTAAACTTAAACTGAGAAATAAAATATACACAATAAAATCAACACTTCTGACTTCAACATTAATGGAGCAGCATCATGGTTGAAATGTAAAGTTTTTAATAGGCTGCAGACTGTTAAAGTTAAATAACTTTAATATGTATGCATATTGCGTGGAAGTCTGCACAGAGTCGACTCTGTAAATTCGACTTCGGTCTTATTCAAAATGAATCAAAAATAAATCAAAACTTCAGTAGTCTATGGATTTTTTCATGGCAACCTTAATTGTTTCTTATTAGAAATAATACACTTTGCCCAATAGCGAGATCTTTTGATAAATCATTACAACCGTGATATTTCAAACAAGCCCAAATCTTCAGGTTCAATACAATACAAAGTATCGTTTTAATAGCGCCGTTGTTTTATCAGTAATTATTATCTATATTCTATGAGGAATTATGTATTATGGAAATTTACTTTTCGGACCCTACATTTTATCCTGTTTTCTAAACTTTGCACACAATCGGGAATGAGTGCACTGATGTATGTGTTGGTAAAGAAATGGAAAAACTAACGATGTTGATTCAACATCTGGTGGATGTTGAAAATAAATGTTTTTTTAACAATAGAAATACTGTAACTTCTGCAAAGGATGAATCATAAATGTCATCTGTGTGGGCGATGAAGTGTTCTTTCAGTTTATGAATTACTTAGCTGGTCTGGGGAAATACATTTGGCAAAGTCAGGTTTTCATAAATGGTGGTAAATTATTTGTTCTATTAAATATGTTGACCTTTTACACTAGAGTAATTATATGATGTAATGCACCTTGTGTGACTTTATATTGAAGTAGTGCTGATTAGACCCTCTTAGTTTTACGTGTTTATATGGTTGCCCTGTTATGTAGGCTACATAACATTTATTAACTCTAAAATAATAATAATCATATTAGATTCTTTAGACATATTTAAAGACGTGTTATGAGTTGGGGGCAAATAGTTTAAAGAGGACTCCTGTCATATTTGGCAACAAGTAGTTTGCAGGTCTTTCCTGACAGGTCGACTCTTAATGAGTTAAATGTTTACACACTGTAACTACACTGGGCTCCTGCTGATTGCTAAAATAAATGTTCTCATGTAACTGATGTAACGATCTGGTGAGAAGGTAATGTCAATAGATCAGCTGTACTGTACCTTTGCGCCGCTAAATTAGCATCCACCACGCCGACATTACGCACCCACGACCGGATTGGATCCATCTCTTCAAGACTTCTCTCTTTTAATCCGCTCACTTCTCGTATCAGATGCTCCTGGATGCCAAACATTTAAGCCCTTGCCTGCGCGTTTCGGTGCACTTCTTTCAATTTACACAAAACACCAAGAGTTGGAGAGCTAAAGCACTTTGGCAAACAACAGAAGGTCCACCCCAAGTCGCTGCGCTCCTCCAGAGATTTAAAAAAAAACAAATGACAGATGCTGTGTGGTGTTCTTTCAGAAACGCCTCAGATAATGATCCACGCTAACTTTCTTTTAAGGCTGAAACGAAGATAATAGATATATTCCACCTCTAATTGAAAGCATTGTCCAAGCGCAAGTCTTCAGCGTCACTTCGAGCGCAAATGGTCACCTGCTCGGTGGCTCCTCACACACTGCAGAGCGACTCAGAATATTCAGTCAATACGTGTGTGCAGAAAGTCTTCCTTTGTCAGAGGGCCAGATCGGATCAAAACAGTTGATCCGAGGGCCAGGAAGCTTGCAGTGAACCGCTGTCTTGAAGCATGAATGAGACCCTCTGCCGGGATAGAGCTGGAGGAGGGGCCTTAGTGCCATATGGGGGACCGATTGTTGAAATGGATGCTCTCATTGGTGTAAAGTGCATCCGTTGTTTGGACTTCTGCCAGATTCAGCATCCAACCAGTGACTCTTGAGGCAAAGTTTTCACTCATTAAGTTTGGCCGGGTTGATGATGAAGGAAAAACACACAATTGGGCACATTTGAAGCATACACTTCTCAAATATGTTGAGAAATGTATCTGTGGTGTGACAAATATAGACATGAGCGAGTTTCTTTGTAGGTGTGATGATAAAGGGGGGTCTGCAATCAATATTATTCAACCTCCACATTGTAGACAAATACTAAAAGTGATAGGGTTTTATACTTGTGTTGTACTTGTTTTTTTTGTACTTTTTTGTGTATCTATGAATGTGTTTATAAAAGCCACACTTTAAACGTTGGTTTCAATTATTCTGTACATGCTGCCCTGAATGGTCGCTACAGCAAATCCTGTTAGGTCTGTTCATTCAAGTCAAAATCTAACACAAGTGCGCTCTCGACAGGCGCGCATTCAGCAGCTCCACCGTCTGCTCCTTTGAACCAGTGATTCCGCTGAGGAGCATCGCATCAGTGTCAGCCGCAACAATGGCCGTCTGGTTGGTCCATCAATCACCGCACAGCCCAGTGCTGCGCTCTGATTGGACCCTGACAGAGCCCGAACTGAGTTCTCAATCAATACAAAAGACTGGCTTATCAACAGTGGTGTAAAAGTAGATGTACTCAAGTTAAGTACAATTTTGAGGGACCTTTACTTTACTTGAGAATTTCAATGTTGTGCAACTTTGTAATTATACTCCATATTTCAAAGGTAATTTCTGTGCTTTTACTCCACTACATTTATTATATATTTGGTTTCTTTGCAGATTTTGTTTAATGATGTGAAATAGTTTCAACACTTAAATAATACTTTAGTTACACCTGGAGTTACCCTTACAAACTACCCTGCAGTATACAAAGGAATTCAAATTAGCTGAACATTTACCATTTGATAAACATTTTTAATACATCAATAATTATAATCAAAACATATTATATATATTATTCTGAAATGGGCAAATCTGCATAGGCCTACTTTTACTTTGTGTTACTTTAAGTATATTTTAATGCCAACACTTTTCTACTTTTAATTGAGAAAGTGCAAGATCTGAGTAGGAACCCACAGAGGTCTTGAAATCAGTTCAAAAATAACGATGTTAAAGAGAGGCTTCCTAAAGTGTTTTTTTGTAAGGTAGGCTATCTTTAGCATATAACAAAATGTGTTGATGTTATAAAAAGTATGTTGAGTTATTTTTGATAAAGTGTGGAGTTTCTTTAGCACGCTGATTTGGGTAATTTCAGGATAAGCAGAAATAAACCTAAATAAAGTAAAAGCCCTAGTTCTTGACATTATTAATTGATAATAATGTAATTCAAAAAAATGTTTTTGTTTGGGCCCAACAAAATAAAAATAAATAGGCTATACCATGTTTTTGAGCTTTTATTTTTGCAGACTAAAAATTAATTTCCGCTTCTGTTCATCTGGCGTTGAAAAGGAAAGTTCATCCCCTGGTCCTTTGGCCCTTACCGATACTATTGTCTAAGGGTGGAGTTTGTGCGCCCGGACAATGAATGTAAATCTCCCCCCTTTGGATCCCGCCTCAACCCACCATCTGCCAGCGCGGGACAAAGTCAGATGTTCCCCCAATTATGAGAGCAGTCTTGGGGAATCCTGCCGAGTCTGCGCCCCGTCTCCGTGTCCCTCACACACTTCCCCACACATGATTGACAGCTCTACTTAACCATGAACAATCTGTATATGATGACACACTTTAATACAAATTCCTCTACTGAAATGCAAAGAGACGCGATCTAGGTTATCGGTGGTTGGGCTGTCTCCTGTATGAGAAGCAACATTGAATAAACTCGGTTGATGCTCAAAAACTCAGGTAATCAACCCAGAAAGCTTGAATGTTTGCAAGAAATCAAGGCTTCTGCAGACTCGAATTCACACAAAGAGAAAATATGAATTACAAACTTGGACTGACTTTTCATTGCTAATGTTGGGTGGTGCCAGACTTCCAACACATCAATCACCTGAGTCATCAAACACATTTGAGTTGTCATATTAATTATGATCAAACAGGTTTATGTGCCATCACATAAGAATGCTTTGTTAACTCATCTCATATAATTTGTTGGCCTATAATGAACCCACATAGCCTATTATTACCTGCGTTTATTTGGCCTGTATTGGAACGCTTGATCTCGTTTGCAAAAAAATGCATTAATCACAATCCTTTAATAGATTGTGTTTAAAATGTGTTCTCCCATATCTCATAAACGTAGCCTATATTTGCTTATATAATATTGGTTCAAATCGTGTTGCTTGCGAAACTGAAGCTGGCTGGAAGTTGTACATGTTTGGCAGATTAAACAGATCAAGTCTCGTCCTATTATTTGCATTATGTGTGTTTTGTGATGTGTTTCTGCAGCTCAGCCCCACAGGTGCGCCAGGCTCGGCCGTGATTATCATCCCCACCCGCAGGACTGCTGTCTGAATGTGGGGCTTTTCTAAATTGCTGGAGCGGAGAGTCGGGGCGAAAATGGGGGATTAGTCAAACCACAAACGTCTTTCTAATCAATTTAACCCGCTGAGACGGTCAGCCCGTGTGTTTTAGGGAGGAGGTGAGGGGGGAATCAGTGACTGCTAAACCAAACAATGGGGTATCGTGTGCCGCTCGTCCTGCCCAGCATTCCCCTGCTCCCATGGGACACCCGGAGCCACTCTGTGTGGATGGCACTGTGTCCACGGAGGTCAGAAGGGGCGTGGCATGTGTGTGTGTGTGTGTGTGTGTGTGTGTGTGTGTGTGTGTGTGTGTGTGTGTGTGTGTGTGTGTGTGTGTGTGTGTGTGTGTGTGTGGGTGGGTGTGTGTGTGTGTGTGTGCGCACATGTGCGTGTGTGCGTGCGTGTGGAGACGCAGCAGCTGGTTTCCGTCCTCCTAGAAAAAAACAGAGCTAATGCGACCCACCACGTCTCCCATCGATCGCCATATATTGCGCTGCTTTTTTTTTGTTTACTTATTTAGGATTTAAGCATGCAGGTCCCCCGGGGAGTGTCGGAATCCCCAATTAAAGCAGAGTGACCACCTTTAGCCTCATTTCTTCAGTATCAAAAAAATCTTCTGCTCCAAACATTTAAATTAATCTTTATAAACGCCCTGTTGTGATTTGGAGTAAAACCATTTCCTTTAAGAACAAATTGCAATACGGAAACAAAGCACATAGCAGGCTTTTTAAGAATAATACATAGCAAGTTTTAAAGCCAGTTGTTGATTATGAGTCTATTGTGCTTTTCCAGTTTTATAAAACTTGATATATTTGTACTCTGTTGAATTGGGTGTAATACATCTTTAGTTCTCCTTTTGAATTACAATCTTTCACCTTCACTGCAGACACTTCAAATCCATTTCACTCACAGTGAGTGAGTAAGGTATTTCTTTACAGCCCACCAAAATACTCCTGTGGTTTAACAATTGTCTGACAAAAACACAACTTCTTAAATATATTAAATTACATATCTTTAACTAATATCATAATAACTTTGCTTTGGAAAAAGGGATTGCATTGACCTCCTGCTGAGGAAAGATAACTTAAAAACTGGACTGAGTCTTGATAGTCCATGTGTAAGTGTTTAGAGGGAATCAAGTTGTTAAATGTATTTATTGTAGATACAACATAAATAAATATCCATTCCATTTACTTTATTTACTCTAATGGAAAGTATTAAAACTGAATTTGTTCAAAGCACAGATTAAACTTTGTGAGCTATTTAGATGTTTTGCTTTATGTGTCAAGAAGCTCTGGTTTATTTTAAGAACCATTAAGTCTATTAGCAGAGCAGAAACGTACTAAAACCACCACAGGTTGTGTCTGCTTTCTTTAAAAGATTGTATGTCAATGCCATCTACTGGTCTGGTTAAGAATATCATCAACTGTGTTTTAGGCAAACACATACCATCTCCTGAAGTCTCTGTCATTATAAATATCATTCGTAGGCAGGGTTCAATGTGTACAATTATCATTTATTAACATTCATTGTAAAGTGACTTGCACTATTACAGCAGTTGTAGCATTTTTTAAACATAACATGACATTAGCATTCATTCAATAGATATTCTCAAGAGACAAAGGTCATTTTGAAGAGAAAATAAAATGATTAAATCAAAAATAAAATAAGAAAAAATGTCACAGATCAAGTCAAGTAGTTTTCACATTGTTTTTCATCAGGGCAGGTATTACTGAATTATAAATAGTCCTTCATTCAATACAAAAGCTTTTAGATAATCAATTAATGCAACCTTTTTTGTGCTGTTCGGTCAGTAGGGCCACAACAACAAAAAAGTTAGATTAGTTAGTTATAAGTAGAAAACTATAATTACTTCAACTAACTCTCAGGACAGCTCTGCTTCACTTGAACCTCTGAAAATGTAAAATCTGAAAATGTAAGGCTTGTCCTGCCTTGGATTTCGGTGCAATTCAGTAAAACCACAATAGAAAATGGAAAGGTGTATTATATCATCCACCGGCAACATTTAAGGACTTCATATAGGACCACATTTTTGCAGTCATTTTGGGATGTCATGGGTCTACAGCTGAAGAACATTTGTTTACTCAGTAAACAGAAAATGCCCTGAGAAGGAACTGTCAGCGGTCAGACCGCCGGTGACACCATAGTCAGACACAAGATAGACCTTGTCCCACTTCTCAAGCTTGATGATCATGCTGCCACTTGCTGTGATGTAACCGCTCTGCTTGGTGGTGAATGAGTGCAGAACCCTTTTTCCATTGCGCATCAGATCCAAAGTGGCCTCACGGTTGTAAACGGTGGCGTGAAACTGAAACTCATAAACACCCGGATACTCACACGTAAAATACCCAGTTTTGCTGTC